TTTATATAGCCAGATTTGAGTCCTGGAAATGGGAAGTACAATGCCTGCACTCTAAAGGAGGGGTTCGGGATATTAGCAGTTTGGAGAGATATGTTGTGTATCTTTATACGTATATGCTTCTAAACTGTTGTGTTCTGAACACCTCTGCAAAATACAGTGATTATGTGTGAGCGAGGTGAAAGCGTTGAATGATGATGAAAGTATTTTCTTTTTGGTGATTTTCTTTCATTTTGGGTCACCCTGCCTCGGTGGGAGATGGCCGACTTGTTAAAAAAAAAAAAAAAAAAATGTATGTGTAGTGTGACCTACGTGTACGTAGAAGTAGCAAGACGTACCTGAAATCTTGCATGTTTATGAGACAGAAAAAAGGACACCAGCAATCCTACCATCATGTAAAACAATTACAGGCTTTCATTTTACACTCACTTGGTAGGAAGGTAGTACCTCCCTGGGTGGTTGCTGTCTACCAACCTACTACCTATAATGGATTATATATCTTTCTTTCTTTCAACACACCGGCCGTATCCCACCGAGGCGGGGTGGCCCAAAAGGAAAAACGAAAGTTTCTCCTTTTACATTTAGTAATATATACAGGAGAAGAGGTTACTAGCCCCTTGCTCCCGGCATTTTAGTCGCCTCTTACAACACGCATGGCTTACGGAGGAAGAATTCTGTTCCACTTCCCCATGGAGATAAGAGGAAATAAACAAGAATAAGAACTAGAAAGAAAATAGAAGAAAACCCAGAGGGGTGTGTATATATGTGCTTGTACATGTATGTGTAGTGTGACCTAAGTGTAAGTAGAAGTAGCAAGACGTACCTGAAATCTTGCATGTTCATGAGACAGAAAAAAGGACACCAGCAATCCTACCATCATGTAAAACAATTACAGGCTTTCGTTTTACACTCACTTGGCAGGACGGTAGTACCTCCCTGGGCGGTTGCTGTCTACCAACCTACTACCTATATGGATTATATATATAACATATAAATAATGTTGGAGATCTAAAGTGTCGTATCTGGGCACCTCTGCAAAGACAGTGATTATTTGTGAATGATGGCGAGTGTTGAATGATGGTGAAAACTTTTCTTTCTTTTATTACTCTGCCTCGGTGGGAGACAGCCGACGTGTTGAAATAAATAATGCTTGGGTAAATAAAAAATTTGTATTTGAAAATCTGTCTAAAATAATTACATTTACATAAACACTCAGCTGTCAGACAACTCTTTGCTTTCAAACATATAAACTACCGTTAGCACCTTTTGCCATTCCCTTTCCTTCTGATTATACAAGTCATTCATCTGTAGCTCACTACATGATTTTGCAAATAAAAGCTTTGGTGACAAAAAATGGAATAAGACAAAAGTCTACAATAGGTCATATCAATTAGGAGGGGTTATCTTAACCCCTTCAGGGTCCAAGGCCAAATTCTGAAGTGGTGCTCCAGTGTCTAAGAAATTTTGAAAAAAAAAAAAAAAATTATTTTTTTCTTACAGAATTAAAGAGTATATTTTTGTGAAGGTAATAAGACAAAAAAAATTTTTTCTGATCAGTACTTACCGAGATACAGCGGCGGGAAGTTGACCCAAAATGACCGGGTGGCGGCAACATCAGTGACTTCCGCAAAATCCCATTTTTTTATTTTACGTTTTTTATACATTTTTCTTTTCTTTTCTAATTTTTTTTCTTTTTCTAACAACATTTGTGGCCTGTGAGACCAGTATAATGTATATTGTATAAGTGTACACTCATTGTATTCAACACAATAACTGCACTAATTTGTTTATCATTATATTGCTTACAAAACTTGTTTACAAGTTTATTGTAAACAAAATGATGAAAATATTAGTGCGGTTATTGTGTTGAATACAATGGTACCATATAGTACCATATGGTACAATGGTGCAATGGTACCATATGGTACAATGACACCATATGATACAATGGTACCATATGGTACAATATGGTACAATGGCACATGATACAATGGTACCATATGGTACAATGGCACCATTTGGTACAATGGTACCATATGATACAACGGTACCATATGGTGCAATGGTACCTTATGGTACCATATGGTGTAATGGTACCATATGGTACCATATGATGCAATGGTACCATATGGTACACTGTACCATACAGTACAATACCATACTGCAATTGTACCATATGGTACAATGCAATATGATGTAATGGTACCATATGGTACATTGTACCATACAGTACAATACCATATTGCAATTGTACCATATGGTACAATGGCACCATATGATACAATAGTACCATATGGTACAATATGGTACAATGGCAAATGATACAATGGTACCATATGATACAATGGTACAATGGCACCATTTGGTACAATGGTACCATATGATACAATGGTACCATATGATGCAATGGTACCATATGATACAATGGTACCATATGATGCAATGGTACCTTATGGTGTAATGGTACCATATGGTACATGATGCAGTGGTACCATATGGTACATTGTACCATACAGTACAATGATACCATATGGTTCAATGTACCATATGGTACTGTTGTATTCAACACAATAAACACACTAACATTTTCATTATTTTGTTTACAATGCCTGCACTTTAAAGGAGGGGTTTGGGATATTGGCAGTTTGGAGGGATATGTTGTGTATCTTTATATGTTTATGCTTCTAGACTGTTGTATTCTGAGCACCTCTGCAAAAACAGTGATAATGTGCGAGTGTGGTGAAAGTGTTGAATGATGATGAAAGTATTTTCTTTTTGGGGATTTTCTTTCTTTTTTGGGTCACCCTGCCTCGGTGGGAGACGGCCGACTTGTTGAAAAAAAAAAAAAAATAGTTGTTTACAACAAAAATATTTACAAGTGTACAGGAACTTGATGTGTTCCTTGAGGTGGATGACAAAGCACTTTGTCTTGGAAACTGAGTCAGTAGCTAGCTTGTGTCGCCACTCACTCAGTCTTGGCTGGTGTCTCATGCCACCAACACCTATTGACCAAATGGTTCACGGTATCATATGTTACAGGGTACCTTATGGTACACTGTACTATATGGTATAGGGTACCATGCAGTACAGGATAACATATGATGCAGGGTACCATATGGTGCAGGGTACCATATGGTGCAGGTACCATATGGCACAGGGTACCAATAATGGCACAGGGTACCATATGGCACAGGGTACCATATGGCACAGGGTACCATATGGTACAGGGTACCATATGGTACAGAGTACCATACAGTATAGGACACCATATGGTACAGATACAGGGATAACTATGGAAGTAAGTCACATTGACTTTTTTGGGTTATCCTAGGATTTTATACATATGCTGCATGTATGATAATCTATGTAATTGTATTTCTGTACACTGAATAAACTTATTCAAGTGCATGTGGCATCATAAGAAGTTTATTTAGTTATACACAAATAAAGTTACATAGAATATCATACTTAGCAGCATATGTTTGGAGAACCTAGGATAACCCAAAAAAGTCAGACAGACTTATTTCCATTAGGGTCCCTGTACCCTGTACCATATGATATAATGTACCATATGGTACAATGTACTATATGGTACATTGTACTATATGGTACCACTCTACCATACGGTACCATTGTACCATATGATACCATTGTATGACATGGCACCATTGTACCATATGGTACCATTGTACCATATGGCACAATGGTACCATATGGTTCAAAACCATAGAATTCGTCTTCATCTCCACTTCCATCAGTCTTAGAACTGTAAGTTGTGAAGAGGAGAGTCAGAATTCGCCCCGAGAGTGAGTGGGGAGTGAAAGCTTCCTTGCCGCCAGGCACTATGAACAAAGCTAATTTGCCGGTGTTCCCACAATGCCATGCGGGCGTCCAGATTTTTTCTATGGTGTGCACACTGACCACCCAGACCCATTCTCTCAGATGTAGGCCTACCAGCCTTCTCGCGCTAAATTTGATGCCACTAGAATTTTGGCGTAGATCTACGGTTTGGACCCTGAACGTAAAGCCGCAGATCTACGGTACGGACCCTGAAAGGGTTAAGTACAGTAATATTAAAAAGTTGTGTCTAGGAGAAGTATTGTTAAGAATATATTTTGGCTGTACAAATCAGGGCAGTGAAGGTATTTTCTTCTTTTAGTCACCCTGCCTCAGTGTCACCTTGCCTCAGTGTCACCCTGCCTCAGTGTCACCCTGCCTCGGTGTCACCCTGCCTCAGTGTCACCCTGCCTCAGTGTCACCCTACCTCGGTGTCACCCTGCCTCGGTGTCACCCTGCCTCGGTGTCATCCTGCCTCAGTGTCATCCTACCTCAGTGTCACCCTGCCTCGGTGTCACCCTGCCTCGGTGTCACCCTGCCTCGGTGTCACCCTGCCTCGGTGTCACCCTGCCTCGGTGTCACCCTGCCTCGGTGTCACCCTGCCTCGGTGTCACCCTGCCTCGGTGTCACCCTGCCTCGGTGTCACCCTGCCTCGGTGTCACCCTGCCTCGGTGTCACCCTGCCTCGGTGTCACCCTGCCTCGGTGTCACCCTGCCTCAGTGTCACCCTGCCTCAGTGTCACCCTGCCTCAGTGTCACCCTGCCTCAATGTCACCCTGCCTCAGTGTCACCCTGCCTCAGTGTCACCCTGCCTCGGTGTCACCCTGCCTCGGTGTCACCCTGCCTCGGTGTCACCCTGCCTCGGTGTCACCCTGCCTCGGTGTCACCCTGCCTCGGTGTCACCCTGCCTCAGTGTCACCCTGCCTCAGTGTCACCCTGCCTCAGTGTCACCCTGCCTCAGTGTCACCCTGCCTCAGTGTCACCCTGCCTCAGTGTCACCCTGCCTCAGTGTCACCCTGCCTCAGTGTCACCCTGCCTCAGTGTCATCCTGCCTCAGTGTCACCCTGCCTCAGTGTCACCCTGCCTCAGTGTCACCCTGCCTCAGTGTCACCCTGCCTCGGTGTCATCCTGCCTCAATGGAAGATGGTCAGAATAAAAAAAAAAGACATAATATAAAAGTGGAATCATCTAATAACCTCTGCATCTGTAGCTTCTGGATATCCATAGCGTATATTTTCCATAATGGATGTAGCAAACAAAACTGGCTCCTGGTTGATGAAGCCAATAACACGTCCACGGAGCCAGGAAGGATCCAATGTACGAAGGTCAACTCCATCAAGCATTATAGATCCACTCTTCACATCGTAGAATCTGATGAAAAACATTAAATAGTATAATTCCCTGATGTAATCATTAATATGCAATATGACCTCACGTATGTTATGCAGAATATTTATGCCGAAACATTCTGCAAAACACATGTGGTCAAGTTTCTTTCATTTATTTATACATATGTTTGTGTGAGCATGTGCATGCATGTGTGTGTGTGCATATGTGCATTTATATGTGTATGTCTCTCTCTCTCTCTCGAGTTCCCGTTTTCCACCTATCAAAGAGCCTGTCCCTGTGTACCCTATAAATTTTCCTGAGTACTCTGTGTTGTTACCATATCTCTCCAGACTCTCCTATCTTCCAATGTTGTTAGATTAAATTCCATTATCCTCTCCTCAGGTCCCTTAACTGTGTGCGTTCTTAAGTTTCTTAACTCTGTGCTTTCTTAAGTTTCTTAACTCTGTGCTTTCTTAAGTTTCTTAACTCTGTGCTTTCTTAAGTTTCTTAACTCTGTGCTTTCTTAAGTTTCTTAACTCTGTGCTTTCTTAAGTTTCTTAACTCTGTGCTTCCTCAGGTGTGGGCTCCATACTGTTGCTTTGTATTCAAGACAAATATGCATGCATAACACACACAAATATGCATGCATAACACACACAAATATGCATGCATAACACACACAAATATGCATGCATAACACACACAAATATGCATGCATAACACACACAAACATGCATGCATAACACACAAATATGCATGCATAACACACACAAACATGCATGCATAACACACACAAATATGCATGCATAACACACACAAATTAGTGTGTTGAAGCCATATACTATATATAATGCTGTACTGCAGCATTATTGGGCAATATATTGTGCACTTGTCTGAACCTGGTTTCTGGGCAGACCTACTACATTTACTTACCTCTCCAGTAACTGAGCAACAGTAGACTTGCCACCTCCAGATACTCCAACCAAAGCCACAACTTTGCCAGCTGGGATGTGTAGGCTGAAGTCATGCAACACTTCCTTCAATATTAGATAATTTGGTAATATACAATTTCAAAAGGAAGATATTTTTCAATGTTTCAAATGGATTACCCAGCTACAAAAGAAGCAGCAGCATTTTATGTACACAAAAGCCACATAAGTATTTATATGAAAATTCACAAGACTTCTTTTTCTCAGATATCAGTACATTAGTTCACTTGGAGTTAGAGAGAATAGATGAGAATACAAGTACAGGTGCACATCTCTTTATCCGAAACCTTTGGGGCCTGTATTGTTTTGAATTTCAGACTTTTCAAATTTCAGAGTGATTTTCAATGCCGCCACGTGATGCGTTGTGATAATTGACACTCCACACACCATGAAAAAGCTTCGATTTTCGAAACTTTTTGAATTTCAGAATTCCAGATAAAGGGATGTGGACCTGTATATGATTGATTTCAAAATATTATTTTGAATTTGTGACTGCTAAAAAAAAAAGTAATTGGATATCCACATGACCATAATACAGTGGACCCCCGCATAACGATCACCTCCGAATGCGACCAATTATGTAAGTGTATTTACGTAAGTGCGTTTGTACGTGTATGTTTGGGGGTCTGAAATGGACTAATCTACTTCACAATATTCCTTATGGGAACAAATTCGGTCAGTACTGGCACCTGAACATACTTCTGGAGTGAAAAAATATCGTTAACCGGGGGTCCACTGTACTTATGTACTACTGTACACAGATATTACTATACTGTACTCACCTGATCACATCTTGTAGGATAAGCAAATGATACATTTCTGAACTCAATATTTCCCATCAGAGAATGGTATGGAATTTTCTTTCCTCCTCTTATGGGTATTGTTTGTTCTAGCTTGATAAACTGAAAGTGGCAATTAAAACTGCATTAAAACATACCCATTTTCATTAATGTATTGCACAAATTAACTTTAAGGATAGAACTAAAATACTAATTAGCCACTAACAGACATTTTTTTCACTGAACACATATCTAGCCAAAGGTGGAGAAGAGGACTGAATAGTAAGAGCACAACCTCTAACCTTAATGAGTGTGCAACAAATCTTACTACTTTTTCATAAGATACAAAGATAAGCTTCATCCAGGAAATCTACATAGAATTTTATTGAAAATATTATAAATTTATATAAAAATCCCAATAGGCATGCAATTGATATAGGCTGACATTGGCAGTAAATTATGCAAATTTAACCTAGAATAATCCAACAAAGTTAGGTAAGGAGTTGCAGACTGCTATTAGGTTGCTATCAGGCATGATCAGGGGTTGAGACACCCCTGATCTCAAACTTGCTCTCAGGATTTAAAAACAAAAAAAAAAAAAAAAAAAAAGAATCTTTTTCCAAAGGTAACGAAACCAGAAGTAAGAAATTTGACGGAAAACTTATGGAATTACGCTCTCGCAAAGTTAGCGGTCTCGGCGATATTTGTACACCAGCGATTTTGTCTAATTTGCACATTATTTTTAGCTAATTCCACTGTTCCAGTCAACCAAACTCACAGCTATTTTGCTAGTATTCATTCTATATGGGGAAGTAGAAAAGAATCTTTCCTCCGTAAGCCATGCGTGTCGTATGAGGCGACTAAAATGCCGGGAGCAATGGGCTAGTAACCCCTTCTCCAGTAGACATTTACTAAAAAAGAGAAGAAGAAAAACTTTATAAAACTGGGATGCTTGAATGTGCGTTGATGTAGTGCGGATGACAAGAAACAGATGATTGCTGATGTTATGAATGAAAAGAAGTTGGATGTCCTGGCCCTAAGCGAAACAAAGCTGAAAGGGGTAGGGGAGTTTCGGTGGGGGGAAATAAATGGGATTAAATCTGGAGTATCTGAGAGAGTTAGAGCAAAGGAAGGGGAAGCAGTAATGTTGAAGGATCAGTTATGGAAGGAGAAAAGAGAATATGAATGTGTAAATTCAAGAATTATGTGGATTAAAGTAAAGGTTGGATGCGAAAAGTGGGTCATAATAAGCGTGTATGCACCTGGAGAAGAGAGGAATGCAGAGGAGAGAGAGAGATTTTGGGAGATGTTAAGTGAATGTATAGGAGCCTTTGAACCAAGTGAGAGAGTAATTGTGGTAGGGGACCTGAATGCTAAAGTAGGAGAAACTTTTAGAGAGGGTGTGGTAGGTAAGTTTGGGGTGCCAGGTGTAAATGATAATGGGAGCCCTTTGATTGAACTTTGTATAGAAAGGGGTTTAGTTATAGGTAATACATATTTTAAGAAAAAGAGGATAAATAAGTATACAAGATATGATGTAAGGCAAAATAACAGTAGTTTGTTGGATTATGTATTGGTAGATAAAAGACTGTTGAGTAGACTTCAGGATGTACATGTTTATAGAGGGGCCACAGATATATCAGATCACTTTCTAGTTGTAGCTACACTGAGAGTAAAAGGTAGATGGGATACAAGGAGAATAGAAGCATCAGGGAAGAGAGAGGTGAAGGTTTATAAATTAAAAGTGGAGGCAGTTAGGGTAAGATATAAACAGCTATTGGAGGATAGATGGGCTAATGAGAGCATAGGCAATGGGGTCAAAGAGGTATGGGGTAGGATTAAAAATGTAGTGTTAGATTGTTCAGCAGAAGTTTGTGGTTACAGGAAAGTGGGTGCGGGAGGGAAGAGGAGCGATTGGTGGAATGATGATGTAAAGAGAGTAGTAAGAGAGAAAAAGTTAACATATGAGAAGCTTTTACAAAGTAGAAGTGATGCAAGGAGGGAAGAGTATATGGAGAAAAAGAGAGAGGTTAAGAGAGTGGTGAAGCAATGTAAAAAGAGAGCAAATGAGAGAGTGGGTGAGATGTTATCAACAAATTTTTGTTGAAAATAAGAAAAAGTTTTGGAGTGAGATTAACAAGTTAAGGAAGCCTAGAGAACAAATGGATTTGTCAGTTAAAAATAGGAGAGGAGAGTTATTAAATGGAGAGTTAGAGGTATTGGGAAGATGGAAGGAATATTTTGAGGAATTGTTAAATGTTGATGAAGATAGGGAAGCTGTGATTTCGTGTATAGGGCAAGGAGGAATAACATCTTGTAGGAGTGAGGAAGAGCCAGTTGTGAGTGTGGGGGAAGTTCGTGAGGCAGTAGGTAAAATGAAAGGGGGTAAGGCAGCCGGGATTGATGGGATAAAGATAGAAATGTTAAAAGCACGTGGGGATATAGTTTTGGAGTGGTTGGTGCAATTATTTAATAAATGTATGGAAGAGGGTAAGGTACCTAGGGATTGGCAGAGAGCATGCATAGTTCCTTTGTATAAAGGCAAAGGGGACAAAAGAGAGTGCAAAAATTATAGGGGGATAAGTCTGTTGAGTATACCTGGTAAAGTGTATGGTAGTTATTATTGAAAGAATTAAGAGTAAGACGGAGAATAGGATAGCAGATGAACAAGGAGGCTTTAGGAAAGGTAGGGGGTGTGTCGACCAGGTGTTTACAGTGAAACATATAAGTGAACAGTATTTAGATAAGGCTAAAGAGGTCTTTGTGGCATTTATGGATTTGGAAAAGGCGTATGACAGGGTGGATAGGGGGCAATGTGGCAGATGTTGCAGGTGTATGGTGTAGGAGGAGCCACCAGGCCCGGTGGCCTGGTGGCTAAAGCTCCCGCTTCACACACGGAGGGCCCGGGTTCGATTCCCGGTGGGTGGAAACATTTCGACTCATTTCCTTACACCTATTGTCCTGTTCACCTAGCAGAAAATAGGTACCTGGGTGTTAGTCGACTGGTGTGGGTCGCATCCTGGGGGACAAGATTAAGGACCCCAATGGAAATAAGTTAGACAGTCCTCGATGACGCACTGACTTTCTTGGGTTATCCTGGGTGGCTAACCCTCCGGGGTTAAAAATCCGAACGAAATCTTATCTTATCTTATCTTATCTTATCTTACTGAAAGTAGTGAAGAGTTTTTACGAGGATAGTGAGGCTCAAGTTAGAGTATGTAGGAAAGAGGGAAATTATTTCCCAGTAAAAGTAGGCCTTAGACAAGGATGTGTGATGTCACCATGGTTGTTTAATATATTTATAGATGGGGTTGTAAGAGAAGTAAATGCGAGGGTCTTGGCAAGAGGCGTGGAGTTAAAAGATAAAGAATCACACAAAGTGGGAGTTGTCACAGTTGCTCTTTGCTGATGACACTGTGCTCTTGGGAGATTCTGAAGAGAAGTTGCAGAGATTGGTGGATGAATTTGGTAGGGTGTGCAAAAGAAGAAAATTAAAAGTGAATACAGGAAAGAGTAAGGTTATGAAGATAACAAAAAGATTAGGTGATGAAAGATTGGATATCAAATTGGAGGGAGAGTATGGAGGAGGTGAATGTATTCAGATATTTGGGAGTGACGTGTCAGCGGATGGGTCTATGAAAGATGAGGTGAATCATAGAATTGATGAAGGAAAAGGGTGAGTGGTGCACTTAGGAGTCTGTGGAGACAAAGAACTTGTCCTTGGAGGCAAAGAGGGGAATGTATGAGAGTATAGTTTTTACCAACGCTCTTATAATGGGTGTGAAGCATGGGTGATGAATGTTGCAGTGAGGAGAAGCTGGAGGCAGTGGAGATGTCATGTCTGAGGGCAATGTGTGGTGTGAATATAATGCAGAGAATTCGTAGTTTGGAAGTTAGGAGGAGGTGCGGGATTACCAAAACTGTTGTCCAGAGGGCTGAGGAAGGATTGTTTGAGGTGGTTCGGACATGTAGAGAGAATGGAGCGAAACAGAGTGACTTCAAGAGTGTATCAATCTGTAGTGGAAGGAAGGCGGGGTAGGGGTCGGCCTAGGAAAGGTTGGAGGGAGGGGGTAAAGGAGGTTTTGTGTGCGAGGGGCTTGGACTTCCAGCAGGCATGCGTGAGCGTGTTTGATAGGAGTGAATGGAGACAAATGGTTTTTAATACTTGACGTGCTGTTGGAGTGTGAGCAAAGTAACATTTATGAAGGGGTTCAGGGAAACCGGCAGGCCGGACTTGAGTCCTGGAGATGGGAAGTACAGTGCCTGCACTTTGAAGGAGGGGTGTTAGTGTTGCAGTTTAAAAAGTGTAGTGTAAAGCACCCTTCTGGCAAGACAGTGATGGAGTGAATGATGGTGAAAGTTTTTCTTTTTCGGGCCACCCTGCCTTGGTGGGGATCGGCCAGTGTGATAAAAAAAAAAAAATCAATTACCCACTAAAGTGATCAGAAATCGGTAATCTGTCCAATTTCACACAAAATTAAAAAAATGCCAATTTAAAAATAGGGTCCAGAGAAAACAATGCAGACATTGCTGGCACTAAAAAACATTTCCTCTGTTCCTTAGTAATGTCTCCAGACCCTTCCTATATTACACTTTGCTTTCCATTTTGAATTTTTATTCACACAAAAATTAGAAGATTTACTGTTATGCAGACTACTACACTATTGTAATAATTGTATAAATAATGTCAGCACATTCTAAAAGGCATATCAGACCTCATAGTTGAATGCATATTGGACGAGTGACATAATCTGTGCATTCTGGAATATTGGCAAAAATCGAACATTTCTGCTACTTTTAGCTCAATTTCAAGCTACTTTTAATCCTGAAACCAATCAAAATCATCTCTATTTCTGTAATATATCTTCCCTTCTATCAAATGAGACCAAGAAACTGAGAATACAACAATAAAAAGAATTCAAAACACACCATAAATTCACTGTTTTAAACCAAAAACACAGTCACAGTTTTCTTTTTTTTATTATGCACTGTGTGCTGTATGACTTTTTTATATGGTGCACACTTATCGCACTGATCCATTCTCTCATATCTAAGTCCAAATTTACTGCTCACAGCTTATCTGAGTGAGCTGAGCTGAGCTCATGGTGTAGTACAATGGGTCTGACTCTGGCTTCAAAGCCATAGTACAACAGGATCGACACCGAAAGGGTTAAGCACTAAACTCTTATGGATCATACAGCAGTTGTGTCTGCACTACCTGAGTTAGCAGTTCCCACCTTTTTTTTTTATATATGCACAACAAACATAGAAAACTATAACAAACAAAAGGAAGAGACAAACACACAACTTTATTTCTATAAAGCACAACACAGTAAACAATTAACACCAGAGGATCTGACATGTATAAACTATTTCACAGAAAACCCTATGTCATGCAGAGCATTTTGGGCAGCCTTAAAATTAAGTTATAATTACTAGATAATGAGACAAATAGAGTAGCTTACAAGAATGTTACAGTTTGCTGTATTTGATATTTAAATAATGTAACAATCTGGGTTATGAATTATATTTTGATAATAACAGATATGTTGAAATGATTGGTGATAGTGTGAACATCAATGTAAATACTAATATTATTTGTTGTATGAGTCATGTTATAATACAAAAATTGTGTACACAGTAGGGCCCCACTTATATGGCAGGTTAGGCTCCAGGCTATTGCCGGAAAGCAGACATTGCCGGAAAGCAGAACACCATTTTTTCCATTTATAAATGCATGTAAATGCCAGACAACAAGTTTACACTAAATTATATTAAGTTAGTAATAGAACTAGGCATTAAAAAACACAAAAAGTAAAATACATACACAGTACACTCATTATTTATCTTAAAGTATTTGTAATCTTAATGTAGTGCGAGAGGTGAGTAGTTCTTATTTGTAGGAAGTCAGGTGTAGGTAGCCCTGGCTCCCCATCTCATACTTAATATACAATATTTAAAACAGCCCAGAGAGTTAAAATGCACATACAGTATACTCATTATTATTTACCTTAAAATATATGTAGTCTTAATGTAGGAAGAGAGGTGAGTAGTATTTATTTGTAGGAAGTCAGTGTAGGTAGCTGGTAGGTGTAGTCTGCTTGGGCTACACCTACCAGCTACCTATACTGTGGCCCAGAGCCATATTGTTAGCATCGACATACCTTGTTCACTGAATTTAATTGTTTCTAACAACTACTTTTAGATGCCATAAACGAAGGGAGAAGTAACGAATAATTCATGCCGAAAATTGTAAACAAAAGTGGAGTGGGGGAGTGGCTGGGCCAAACACAGATTCACACACGTTTTCTCTGGTGCCTGAGCAGAGAAAACGTAGTGTTGTCCCTCAGCCCAGCTACCACACAGGTCCACAAGTATTATTATCAGAAAAGGTAAGATACACACAGAGTACAGTGGACCCTCGACCAATGATATTAATCCGTTCCTGAGAGCTCATCGTTAGTTGAAATTATCGTCAGTCGAGTTAATTTTCCCCATAAGAAATAATGGAAATCAAATTAATCCGTTCCTGACACCCCAAAGTATTGAAAAAATTTTTCTTACCACGTGAAATATTAATTTTAATACACACAAACTGAAGAAGACATGTACAATTACATGACACTTACCTTTATTGAAGATCTGGTGATGATTGATGGGATGGGAGGAGAGAAGAGTGTGGATGGTGTTAGTGTTTAGGACTTGAGGTGTCAAGTCCTTTTCTGGGGTTACTTCCCTTCCTCTTTTAATGCCACTAGGACCAGCTTGAGAGTCACTGGACCTCTGTCGCACAACATATCTGTTCATAGAGCTCTGTACCTCCCGTTCCTTTGCGATTTGTCTAAAATGGGCCACAACATTGTCATTCTAATAGTCGCCAGCACGGCTTGCAATAGCTGTGTCAGGGTGATTTTCATCCATAAAGGTTTGCAGTTCAACCCACTTTGCACACATATCCTTAATCTTTGAGGTAGGCACAATGGATTCAACAACTGGCATAGGCATCTCAGGGTTAGCCCCAGACCCTTCAAAATCTTTCTTAATTTCCATACTAATTCTCACCCTTTTTATAACAGGGATGGCTCTAGAAGCTTTCTTGGGGCCCATGGTGACTTATTTTGCAGGTGCAATCACTAAAAACGCTGTGATAATATGAAATGTTCCGATTGTATGTTTGGATGCGACCGCGGTGGCTGGCTTGTAAACACTGCGCAGGCCACATGTGGACGTGTCTCGAATGGAACAAATCGCGTTGGTCGAGTTTTTTAGCGCTAGTCGAGGCAAAATTTTTGCGTAAAAATGTATCGCTAGTCGGATTTAACGTTATACGATGCCATCGTTGGTTGAGGGTCCACTGTACACTTATTACTTACCTTAAAATATTAATATTAATGTGTGAGAGGTGAGTGCCAGGGTGTTTATTGAATAAAATCAGAATGGCACACCATCATCCTCTAACTTGGCACTTAAAGCAAGAGGCTTACGACTCCTCTTTTTATCACAGCTAACCTTAGACGCCATCGTCAATGAGAGCCAACCAGTTAACAAAAGAGTAAACGAGAGAGAGAAAGAGATACAGAGTTGAGACAATGTAAGAACACAAACTGAACAGGTAGTGGGTGATCACTTGGTCAGGCGAAATAAATGCGTATTAATGTGTGTCTACTTTTAGTTCATTCATGTCCATTTGTAAGAGTTTATAAAACATTTACCTCAATATTTTTTTTATTATAATAATAATTACCTCACAATATAAATACTCTTATATTGTGTACAAGTTAGTACAGAATAAACAAATAGCAACACACCATTTTTAGAGTGAATGAAGATATTATTATTATCATAATAAAAAGCACTAAACCCACAAGGGTCGTGAATTGCTATACATAGAGTGAAGGCATAAGAAAAGAATATTTTTCTACAGTTATCCCCCAGTTTGACTAGAGAAAACGTAATTCTTCCGACACTACCTACACAGCTGCTTTGTAAACAAATCTCATATTTACATCAATTTTTATTTTGTGAGTGTATGTATCATGTTTATATGCTATGTAACAGATTTCATATATAATTTTGAGGAAAATATCACAGATGGATTAATGAAAATGCCTATATTAATGTAAAATAAGATATTTAATGTGCCCAAGAGTGATTATTATTACGTAGTACGTATTGGCGTCATGAGTAGAGAGACTTAGCGATTTTAATGTGTACTCCTCACCAGCACAGTGTGTAAGTATATTTAGGTACAGGTACACATAAGTATAATTATCAGAGTACATATAAAATACGCAATAACTTCAAAACACTAGAAATTTTGGAAAGTTTACTGACATAATAGATGTGGTCACCAAGAATGTAAACAAACCGCGTGGGGCGCGCCATATTTGAAAGGCCGCTTGCCATATAGTAAATTTGAGTCATAATTTGACATCGCCATATTAGCGGAATGCCGTAAGGCAAAACGCCATAAAGCAGGGCCCTACTGTATTTAGATATACCTACATTAAATAAATACTCTTATACAAAAAAAAAATTAATGATACGTTTCTAACAATGCTGTAATGTTTAAGCTCATGTGAGGAGCTCCTTTTTTCATGGGTAAAACATGATGCACTGAAAGGGTTAAAGGAGCATTGTTAAGTAAAATTTAAAACATAATCTGATAGAAACCTAGCCTTTTAAAATTTATGATAATTTTTAAAGAAACATATCTTTCACCTCAAATACTCGTGCACCAGCACTAATGCCACGAACGTATGTGCCAAAGAGGATGCCAAGCTGAGCTAAAGATCGCTGTATGGTCTGGCAAGCCGCCAGGAATGACATGAGGTCACCAGGTTTCATCTGATTGGTGGACATGAGCTTGCCACCAGCATACAATGTTCCAATCACTATACCATTCAAGAAGAGATTTGAACCAGCCTGAAATAAAATTCATTTGCAACATAAAAATTCTAATACACATGAGAGTACATTCTGGTTATTATGAAGACATTTTACCTGCTGTAAACTGCTATATATCACTGAAGCATGTTTAACAAGTCTGCATACAAATTAATGCTTATTTATTAAGAATGGCATCAACAAGTAAGAGAGGTGAAGGTTTATAAACTACAGGAGGAGGCAATCAGGAAGATATAAAATACTAGCGGAAAAGAGATGGGCTGGTGAGAGTATAGGCAATGAGGTTGAAGAGGTATTGGATAGATTTAAGAATGTAGTGTTAGAGGGTTCAGAAGTATGTGGTTACAAGAAAGTGGGTGTGGAAGAGAAGAAGAGCAATTGGTGAAATGATGAGGTAAAGAGAGAAGTAAGAGAGAAAAAGTTAGGTTATGAGAGGTTTTTACAAAGTGATGCAAGGAAGAAGTATATAGAGAGAAAAAGAGAGGTTAAGAGAGCAGTGAAGGAATGTAATAGGAGAGCAAATAAGAGAGCGGGTGAGATATTATCAACAAATTTTGCTGAGAATACGAAAAAGTTTTGGAGTGAGATTAATATGAAAGCTTAGGGAATGAATGGATTTGACAGTTAAAAAGAGGAGAGGAGAGTTGTTGAATGGAGAGTCAAAGGAATCACGAAGATGGAGGGAATATTTTGAGGAACTGTTAAATGTTGATGAAGACAGGGTGATAGAAAATTTTGAATCTTCCACAACCATAATGCATAAATTTAGCATGTAACTCAATGAAATGCATTGTTGTTGGCTAAAATTAATTTGGGAATTAAAAGGGGAACCAGCAAATAAGTAGTGTTGGGTGGAGAGGATGCCATATGAGGAACAAGACGACATTGAAATTTGAGGGAATTATTCAGAGGCTCTGGAAGCTAAATGGAGTTTAAGCCTCCCAAATAGGAGCAAGAAGAATCAGAGTTACAGTCCTGCGGAATGTGCAAAACCAGCGACTTGGCAGGACTTGGAAATTAGATGGTAAAAGGGGATTATAAGGAGCCATCAACACCCACAGCAAGTATACTGCACTTTATGTGTTGAACTTCTGACCAGTTAGGTTCCTCATATCTAGGCAGGGGTTGTGGGTGATCTAGTTGCACCAGGTGACCTCCAGACAAATTTGGTGAGTGGTGGCAACATATAACTATTTTCTCATATGATGTACTAACCCTTAACCCTTTGACTGTTTCAGGCCCCTCTCTGAAACTGTCATTCTATGTCGCCAAATATTCAAAAAAAAAAAAAATTATTTTTTCTTATGAAAATGTTAAGATTATTTTTCTGAGTGTTTTAGTCCCAAAAAAAATTTTTTGCCATCGGTACTTACCGAGATATAGAGCCGTGAAGTTTGCAGAAAATGAGCCGCGTATGGCAACAGCGGTGACTGCCGCTCACCCGGTAAACTTTAGTTTACTTGTAATTGAAGGTTTTTTGTTTTTTTCACTATTTTATTTTTTCACATAACTTATGTGGCCTATGAGACCAAAGTAAGGTGCAATGTACATATATACACTCGTTGTATACAACACAATAAGCACACAAACATAATTATCAATATATTGTTTACAAAACTTGTTTACAAAAACAAACAAACAAACAAACAATCATCATCATCATCCTCATCATCATCCTCCTCCTCATCCTCATCATCCTCATCCTCATCCTCATCATCCTCATCCTCATCATCCTCATCCTCATCCTCATCATCCTCATCATCATCCTCCTCATCCTCATCATCCTCATCCTCATCATCCTCCTCATCATCATCCTCATCCTCATCCTCATCATCATCATCCTCATCATCATCATCCTCATCCTCATCATCCTCATCATCATCATCATCATCATCATCATCATCCTCCTCCTCCCTCCTCCTCCTCCTTCTCCTCCTCCTCCTCCTCCTCCTTCTCCTCCTCCTCCTCCTTCTCCTCCTCCTCCTCCTTCTCCTCCCTCCTCCTCCTTCTCTCTCCTCCTCCTCCTTCTCCTCCTCCTCCTCCTCCCTCCTCCTTCTCCTCCTCCTCCCCTTCTCCTCCTCCTCCTCCTCTCCTCCTCCTCCTCCTTCCTCCTCCTCCTCTCCTCCTCCTCCTCCTTCTCCTCCTCCTTCTCCTCCTCCTCCTCCTTCTCCTCCTCCTCCTCCTTCTCCTCCTCCTCCTCCTCCTTCTCCTCCTCCTCCTTCTCCCTCCTCCTCCTCCTTCTCCTCCTCCTTCTCCTCCTCCCTTCTCCTCCTCCTCCTCCTTCTCCTCCTCCTCCTCCTTCTCCTCCTCCTCCTTCCCTCCTCCCTCCTCCTTCTCCTACCCTCCTCCCCTCCTCCTCCTCCTTCTCCTCCTCCTTCTCCTCCTCCTCTCCTCTCCCTCCTCCTCCTCCTCTTCCTCCTCTTCCCTCCTCCTCCTCCTTCTCCTCCTTCTCCTCCTCTCTCCTTCTCCTCCTCCTTCTCCTCCTCCTTTCCTCCTTCTCCTCCTCCTCCTCCTTCTCCGTCCTTCTCCTCCTCCTCTCCTTCTCCTCCTCCTCCTCCTTCTCCTCCTCCTCCCTCCTTCTCCTCCTCCTCCTCCTTCTCCTTCCTTCTCCTCCCCTCCTCCTTCTCCTCTCCTTCCTCCTCCTCCTTCTCCTCCTCCTCCTTCTCCTCCCCCCTTCCCTCCTCCTCCTCCTCCTTCTCCTCCTCCTCTCCTCCCTCCTCCTCCTCCTTCCTCCTCCTCCCTCCTTCTCCTCCTCCTTCTCCTCCTCCTTCTCCTCCTCCTCTCCTCCTCCTCTCCTCCTCCTCCTCCTCCTCCTTCTCCTCCTCCTCCTCTCTTCTCCTCCTCCTTCTCCTCCTCCTCCTCCTTCCTCCTCCTCCTTCTCCTCCTCCTCCTCCTCCTCCTCCTTCTCTCCTCCTCCTCCTCCTCCTCTCCTCCTCCTCCTCCTCCTTCTCCCCTCCTCCTCCTTCTCCTCCCCTTCCCTCCTCTCCTCTCCTCCTCCTTCTCCTCCTCTCCTCCTCTCCTCCTCCTCCTCCTCCTTCTCCTCTCCTCCTCCTTCTCCTTCCTCCTCCTTCTCCTCCTCCTCCTCCTCCTCCTTCTCCTCCTCCTCCTCCTCCTCCCTCCTCCTCCTCCTCTCCTCCTCCTCCCCTCCTCCTTCTCCTTCTCCTCCTCCTCCTCCTCCTTCTCCTCTCCCTCCTCCTCCTCCTCCTTCTCCTCCTCCTCCTCCTCCTCCTTCTCCTCCTCCTCTCCTCCTCCTTCTCCTTCTCCTCCTCCTCCTCCTCCTCTCCTTCCTCCTCCTCCTTCTCCTTCTCCTCCTCCTCCCTCCTCCTCCTCCTCCTCCTCCTTCCTCCCTCCCCCCCTTTCTCCTCCTCCTCCTCCTTCTCCTCCTCCTCCTCCTCCCTCCTTCTCCCCTCCTCCTCCTCCTCCTTTTCCCCCTCCTCCTCCTCCCCCCCTCCTTCTCCCCCTTTCTCCCCCCTCCTTCTCCTCCTCCTCCTCCCTCCTCCCCCTTTCTCCTCCCCCTTTCTCCTCCTCTCCCCCTTTCCCCTCCTCCTCTCCCTTCTTCTCCTCCTCCTCCTTCTCCTCCTCCTCCTTCCTTCCTTCTCCGTCGATGCTGCTTCCCCTCCTCCCATTCTATCTAATTATCTTTCTCCCTCATTCTATATCTTTCAATCTGTCTCTCTTTCTATCTGTCTGCCTATCTCTGTCTCACAGGTACACATAAATACAAGTATACATAGTGTAAATTACCTAGGATAACCCAAGAAATCCAGACAAAGTGCTATACTCTGCTTGAAGATGTGAGTAAACGTGATGACACAGTCTTGTGGCTCTCTCTGAGACAGAGAGCTAGATGGACAGACAGGGACTTGACAGACAGACAAATAGACAGACAGAAATGTTTGTGTACCAGCAAAAACAAAGGGAGGGCGATGGTCATGTAATATTACCCTCCTTTATGCTCATCAAAGTCAGCTCTTATCAGATGTTATCTCCCCTTATCTTGTCACTGTCATGGGGTGGACTTTTTTTTTTCTTGCTTCAAGGGAACAATATTATTACATCTTCTTCTTCCTCCTCCTCCTCCTCTTCTCCTCCTCCTCCTCCTCCTCCTCCTCCTCTTCCTTCCCTCCTCCTCCTCTTCCTTCCCTCCTCCTCCTCCTCCTCCTCCTCCTCCTCTTCCTCCCCTCCTCCTCCTCCATTGCTTTTGGTCTCAAACTCCTCCAAATCATGAAATTGATCTTCACTGACACTTCCATCTGTGTTAGAGCATCACTTGGGAAGAGAAGAGTCCCAGATTTGCTGGGGAATCACATATTTCTTACCGCTAGACATGCTGAAAAATGACAACTGAAATGGCATTCCCACAATGCACCACTGGCTCCCCGATTTTTTTTATATGGTGCACACTGACCATGGAGACCCATTCTCTCACATGTGGGCCTACCAGCTTTCTCCTGCTTGATTTGAAGCTGCTAGAATTTATGCGTATAAATACGTCAGAAACATTGGCTCTTAAGACGTATTTATATGTCGGAAACAGTCAAAGGGTTAAACTGTCCTAACGTAGATCTAAGTTGACGTGCACAGTGCTCCGAACATAGATTTAGGTCCAATTTTACATGGTTTCAAATGGAGAAAATCAAGGTCAGAGTGCTACGCACATCAATGTAGATGTACATTTGGACAGTTTAAGGGTTAATAAGTGTATTATACAGTCCACATAATTTTAATGTAAATATTATTACCAGAATTACTGTGTGTTTTTATTAAATTTGATGTCAATATTTATGGGTCCATAGTAGATGTGGGAATCTTTGAAAAATTAATTCATAGACTGATCTATTCCTACCTCGTCTCACACAACATATTAATCCCTTGTCAGTTTGGATTCAGTAATAATAAAAGCACAAATGATGCTATCATACACATGCTAGAACTAATATATACGATACTCGAAAAGAAAGAAGTCCTACTGGGCATTTTCATTGATTTATGTAAAGCTTTTGATACAGTTGACCATG